AGGTACCATCGCTAGCACAGAATGACAACTTATTAAAGTGACAAGTACAGGAAATCCCGTTAACTAATTTTCTGTTCAACCATTTTGGCATCACATATAACCTCTATTTGGTGTCCTACCTTCTAGTGCTGCTTCACTTTTTCCTAACCCCATTTAACTATATGCAGTATTTTCTGTCCAGTTTCCTTCAATATGGCCGAAGAATTTATCTCTTCAAGTGGACTAAGTAAAGTATAATAACCTTCACGATAGATTGAAGATGCCGTTCTTAGAGTTTCGGGTTGTACACAACAAGGAAGGATTTATAGTTTAATTTTACTAAAATCTTGCGTGTAGGCCTCATTATTCCATTGAATTCCACTTATCCTTGCTCGCATAAAAGCAATATACTCCAGGATGGACGTCACGCAATTATTGGAAAACGGAAAGACTCATGGAGAAAAATGGGTTACTCAGAATCCTTAATAAGATTAGTATTGGTGTACTTTTCATTAAGCTTAAAGAGGCGAATGGAAGGGAGCCGTAAGTTGGCCCAACAGAATCTGTAGGAGGATTACCTTGGCGCACCGGCCTGAAACCCAGATAAATCCTTGCTGAGCTTTCGTCCGTCATGTGACGGACATGCTCACAGCAGGATACCATGCTTAGCGAGAATTTACCAAAATACGAAGACCGACATACTTCTTTAAATCCAATTTCGTCCACTTAATAAGGCATCCATTGTTATGGTTGGATATACTATGCACTACCTAAATATTTATCGAAAGGTTAAGGCAGGTGATTGTGGATCACATGTGAAGGGACTTCAGGTGAAGCGGGAAGTACATGCTTTTGCGACCGAATAGCTGCATCCTACTCTAAAACACTAATACTTTGATCATGCAATGTTACTACATGTGAGTGAGTTCCATTACATGCGCGTGGTGTGGATGGATTACTCTTGAAATGAATGTTATGTGAGATTTAAAAGAAAATTCGAACCATATAATGCTTCCTCCTGTTGCTCAGTGCTACTTTTCGTTCTCTTTCCCTCTGATCCTATCCAACAGCCAAAAGTAGTTTCTATTTAACTTCCCACACTCATTTTTTCCATTCAGAGTGTTGGCTGTTTTATCGAAGATATGAAGACCAAGATGGTGTGACCTTTTGTGTGGTCGCCGTCTCCTTTCGTTGTATAGAAGTTGTTTTTGGCTGTTTTGTTGATTTCTTTCGCTTTTCTAATCTTTCGCTTACTTGTATAGTCCACATATCCTGCTAAGCGTTCGGAATTAGATCAATCTACGTGGCCAATTCTGATTTTTGGTCCTATAAACCCTTGCGGGCTGCTTCCTATTCAGATAACCGCTTAGGTATGGGCCTAAAGATCTTGTATAAGTGCTAATGCATAGACGCACATTATTGTAACAGTCCAATGTGTAGAGAAACTCGAATCCTGCTTTGACTCTCACATCATACTCGTTTTAAGAGTAATGCATTCATACGGTACGCATGCAATGGGACGCAATCACTTACGGTGACATTGCAGTATCAAAGGTATGATTGCTTAAGGGCAATGAATCACAAACTGTGCGTCGCCAAATAATGTAAAAGCTTCAATATGAGAAAATGTGTAGTGATTCGCAGTCTCATCCATTACATTAATTATTAAATATTAAGTTAATGTTAATAAAGTAAAAAAAATAATGAAGATACACGAGTCTCTTACTTTCGAATAGTCATACTTAGGGTAGGACGTCATGTAAACATTTTAATTTAATTTTCCAAAACTAGGAAAAGTTTGGGAACCACTGCTTTAGGGGGATGATACAACCGTCTGCTCACAATCGTATTTGTTTCACTCTTGATCTACAGCCACTACACATGTCATCCGGCAGACAGTTGCCTTAACTAATTCAGCAAACATTTAAGCAGAGATAGGATGTCGAAATAAAGCATTATTTACCTAATTAAGTGGACTAAAAATAACTTTAAGAAATAGGTAGGTTTAAAGCCTACCACATTTCTTACCTTCTTTTTTTGGTGAAGTATCGTTAAGCATGGTGTCCTGTACTTACAATGTTCATTACAGGATGGATGAAAGCTCATCAGGGATCCATCGGGGTCTTAGGTTGGTGTCTCGAGTACCTATACGCACCAAGCTACAATTACAGCTCCAAGACAATCAACCTACAGCATATGTGAGATCAACTTACGAATCTCTTCCACTCGCTTCTTCAAACTGAATGAAAGGCATCTAACATCAATCTATCAAGGGATTGAAGATATTAAGATCAAGATGTTGTGGCCTCCTTTTGATTTATAGAAGTGAGTTTACTTCGTTGTCGCAACTTGGTCTTGTTGTCAGGGGAAATTAGTAGAAATCACCTAGTCCGAAGTCGTCTGCCGTAGTAGTTGTCATGATTACCAGCATCAGACAGTGGACTTGGTACATTCTTAAACGTTTCGCTGGCATCGTAGTCGGCATCATCAGTGAGTTTTGTCATTCTCCCCAGCAAGCTACGAATTCGTCAAAGAGACAAGTGAAGTCAATCCCTCAACAAACGTTCTGCCGAAAACGGTGATACTATCACTCCTCTTTCTGTCCTGGCCTATCTATCCACTCTTTACCCTCTTCTCCCACTGCCGCCCTATCACAACTTCTCACTTGTTTACATTTCACTCGTCAAAATGTGAGTCCTTTTGTGGCAAATCTGGTGTGAACTCTTCACATTTGCTATTCACCCCGACCTTTCTCTTTCGATCAGTTGATCGAACTCGGGCCTCCAATCCGGATCACCTTATTGTTTCGTAGATCCGTTCCTTATCTTTCTGGTTGACCGATTTCACTCGGTTCCAGTCCCAGTGTGCATTTCACTGCAGGCACTATTTCTCAAGGTCCCAGAAGTGCGTACACTGCCGCTTTACTGAGCAGAGCGCCTAAGCTCTGATTCCCATGCTTTCAGATATCAGGCCTTCCCTTCATGGGTCCCTCCTTGATTAAACCTATGTTATCTGAGAAAACTGTGGACGCCTATCTCTGGTCGCATGCGGCATCTTAAGTGGATTTCCGGTACATTATGCTCATAACGCCGAATTTCTGTGACGGTTTGCTTATTCTTCCGCCTAGCTCCCTGACTTCTAGGCCCCCAAAGTTTTACTGGTTTATTCGAAACGGACATCAATCACTGATAGCGTATTTGCTTGATTGCCGGAACTCCCCGTCCCCCACTTTCCTCATCACGATCTCTTTTCTTCCGATCAGCAATAGATCCCTGATCCAAACGTTTCCCTTTTGCTAGTTTTGCTGTATTCTTGTTTTCTCCGAGTTTATCTAAGCAGTAGGCAAAGTTATCGCTAACTCTACCTTCCTCCAATCTCCTGTTCATTAGATTTGTCTCCCCAACGATGTCAATGGCCTTCATAATCTTCCGGTTCGCAGTCGCCGCATGATATGCAGTAAACTCCCGAACAATGCAATTTGTCTACTCTTTCATGTTGCGTCAGCAGACTTGTTAAAAGTGTTGAGGCAACCGAATATTCTATTTACTCAATATTGGCCGTAGTTTTTGAGTTGGTTCGCAAGAAAGTAGGCATATCCACTTTTTTGAATCCTTCATCGTCCTTACTGTTCTTTCATAGTCCCCGTCCTGCAATCTGCTTTTAATGGCCTGTATGTTTCTTTGTATCACTTCGCCAGGGTAGTCATTGCCGAGGAATATCTTCATCAATTTGTGCAGCTCCTTGTCCCAGAATTCTACATCCATTAGGCGTTAGCTTCGGATGATCATGCTCCTCATCATTCTTATTTTTAGCATGTAATTTTGATGGGACCGGAATTTGAGTTTTATCCCAGCATAG